ATGTTAGAGCTAGCCGAATAAGGGTAGATTAGTCATTTTATTTCTGTTAAGTTATGTGCTTATGTGGCAGTTTTAATAGAGACTTCCTGTCCCATACTTAAGTAGGGGACAGTTTAGTCTTTGTATAACTAATTAGAGGCTAATCCATATTAGGGTCGACCGATAGGGTTTATGCTATCAGATTCGACTGTTCTTCTTCCTTCTTCTTCTTTCTCTCTTACTCTCTACTGGTTCGAACTACTTAAACAGAGCTGTCAAAACACTTAATAATGTTTTATAGGAAAAAGTGGTATTCATTGTTTACATTAGCTTTTCATTTATGTCAAATAATCAACGAGATAAAGGAAAACATTATGTAGAAATCTTCCTCAAAAATCCATTTTTATGTAATACACTCACCCATGGGTGTTGTCCAACACAGACACTTTGTCCATTTAGGAGGATCTAGGAAACACTGGTATATCCCACTTTTCACCCAAGTAATATAGTAAAAATTAGTCATCATCTTAAATAAGGAATTGTTGCATACTTAGACTTCTAATCCAACAAGTAATGAGCCAAACCATATCACTTGATAATTCATTTAAGCAATAACGCAATCCATACAAGCATACACTGATACACACAACATTAAGTGACAGAAAAAAGTAAATGTGAGGATTTTGTTGTTTGCAAGTCAATTTAAGAAATTGAAATGGAAAGATTTCTTTTCTTTCAGTGTTGTGAAAGGATTGCATTTTTGTGAAATGCATGAGCACACCCCCTCATATGAGGTAAGCCTGAAGGAAAGGTGTAAAAACCTCAAATACACACTACAACCTAAATTTAAGCCTTTGAGAAATTCGAGCTCCTTAGACAGCCCCTTGAGGTCCTTCTGAAGCCTTGCATTAATGGTATAAACATCCCATACCCTTAACTTACACAACACAGCTTAAGAAACAAAGGCCCCAAAGAAATAGTATAAATACACATTTTATCTAGGAGACCCTAATAAAGTGAACACTTAATTTAAGAAAAAAAAAAAGAATCATATCCATTAAAAATAAAAGAGGATACCCATATACATCTAAAGATATAAAGTTAAGACATCTAGTATATAACCTTGTGATCCACAGTTAAAGGGATTGTTTGACTCCCTCGACAAAGCACTGCTCTTGAGTCACCACAATTGGAGGTAATTATCTGACAGCCAGATACAGCCACTGCTACAGCAGTGGATCCAACTATTTCTGGTGCTATTGATTCTGTCACCACCTCATTGTCAGCCCTCTCAAAACCAATACAAAATGCATCTTCCCACCTCCTACGCCACCCATCTCCATCACCTCCTATCTTGTTCCATTCCTCTGCTACTACTTCATGGATCCGCTCAGCACAAAATTTGGCCACCTATGAAAACCAATAAAAGAATGTGCATTTTCTTGGCAATCAATTTGAGGTATTCATATTTAATGCCCATCAGTAACATCACTAGAGAAATGAGATCACATGAAATAATGTTAATGTGAGGCCTGCCATCTGAAACAACATTGTTATCAATGAAGAGATTCATAGTAACCAAGTTCTGGTATTGTTTTTTTTTTTTTCTTTTAATGCACAAAGTGGCCATTCTTGAATTCAACCCTGCATTTTCATGCTTGTCAGCCTGAGATTTTTTACCATTAAACCAAGCAATGGCCCCAAGGTTTCAAAAGGACCTCATTTTCCTAATATTGGCTGAAAGTCCACGATGGCATCCACATGTAATAAGACCAACAAAATTGGGTAAGGGAGGATTTGTGCCAATACAAAGCCAGATATGGTTTAAAATGATTCAGATTCAAAGGTCTCAGTGGTTTGGTCTCTCATGAGAGTGCTCAGATTGATTTTTTTCCCCAAAGAGATAAGGGTAAATGACAAAAATGGAGTTGGTCAATATAGTTTTAGCAAATTGAAATCTATCATTCTCTAATCCAATGTATACATATGTATGTGTTCATGCATGCACACATGAATATAAATGCTCTGCTGAATTAGGGATGCCCATATTTATTTCTCCAATCATCAATTATAGGAATCCATGTTAATGCAAAATGTTGGGAGCATGGTTTGCAATTTCCTCAAATTTGATGATATATCCAACAAAATATGCCATTTAAGGGGGCCTGAGATATTTCTCAAAAGGAAGTATAAATTTCAACAAAATATTGGCAATAGTTATGTCATCATCATCTAAGTCTTGTCCCAATAATATGACACCATGTACATAAATTCTGTTTCACCATTCCATTCTGTTTGGTGCTATACATTGGAATTAAACAGCCAAAAATTCTGTAAATGTTGATACTTTTGGAAATTCCGTAAAAATTAAGAGCACATTATTAACTTGCTAAATTTTGCATAAATGGCAGATATTTCAACCAAAGCCACATTTGCATAGATATTATTTTGAAGTGCAATGTGACCCATAAGGATTAGCCAAACCTGTATTTCAAAAATAGTGCCTTAAACACCATGAATCTGTTACTTCGTGCAGGGCCCAATGCTTAAAACCAAAATCAACAACATATTGGGCCTCGAGCAATGCACCAGAACAACAATGTCCAAGGCACCATGATAGGGACCATACAGAAAACTTCAAGATTTATAAAAGAAAAGGGAAGTGCCCAACAATTATAAGGCTTTGGCACAATAAAGGAGAAGATTCAAGCTGGGAGCTAGAATAAATTCTGGGTGTTTTGAGTTAGAAATTAAGAAACAGTAGTGTTAGAAGTGTGTTAGGAGTGACTTACAGCAAGGTTGTTTTAGTTATATACTTGTTAGAAGTCATTGTTTTCTGTTTTCAGTTAGTACTCGTAAGCCAAGTAAGAGTAGGATTCCTAGTTAGGACAATCAAAACGTAGCTAGAACTCCACTATTTTGCATGTATATATATCCTTTATAGTCATTATGAGTTCATAATTATATATGACCACTTTTGAAAGTTTGATTATAGAAGTACGAATGATGCAGAACGGATAGCCAACCTTTGTACAACATTTGGTGGGTTCTAAAAATTGGGGACTGTTGTTGAAAGAAATGAGAAAAGTGAAGAGACCAGGGTAATGATAGGATCCAAAACTAGGATTTTGCGTTAGAAAATGGGGATATGTATAAGAAATAGTTTAGCATTGGTAGGTGTTTCGACTGCTGCTACAGTAGTCCGAACAGGAAGAGGAGAAGAAGAAGAAGAAGGGTCAGTCGAAAATCTGATGGTTAACCCATCCAGTCGACCCCCTTAATCTATATTAGATTCTAATAATGTTTACAAAGACAGAAATGCCCTTACGTAAGTG